ATTCATGCCAAGGGATTGAGAGGGTAAGGGAATGTCAGTTATTTCTCTTCACTAACTTTTAGCATCATATTTTAAGTGAATGACAACATAAGTCATTAAGTCTTTGCTGTATCTGTAGTTTGGTAGCCCAGGAGTACAATATTGTCACTACTAGTAACAGACTATTCAGTTTTCAAGACCTCTGGACAGAGGTTTGCCAGGCTTCCTTTGTCTGAAAGTGTCTTGAGCTGATGGAGTTTTGGAGTTTTTTTAAACTTGGTTTAGCTGTAACATTAAATTTTCTTGTGATCAGGTGGCTATGACTAATTTTTATGCCTTCCTTTATCTTTGTATGGTACAACCACAGCTTTATATCCACAGTAGTAACAAGATGCTATTATGTGCAGAATGAGTTAGTTACCACTAATGCGATGCAGTAAAGAGAAATACAAGCCTGGCATTTGAATGACAGCAAAGACCTTGAGAAATGGAGACACAGGATACTGTGAAGACTACAGGCGTGAGTACGGTAAGGGATGGATGTGATACAGGCTCGGCACTGGAGACCCCATTGCTGTGAACAACTCACCCACAGTCACTTAAAGAAATGCAGACCTAGACAGAATCAGGTTTCAGGGGTAAAAAAGAACAAGTATCTAACATAGATGAAATGCGCTTTATAGAGTAGATTGAAATATAATGTGGACCTGCAGTGTGCGTGGTGTAAAAGTGTGTTAGAACATTATAGATAATCCCAGGTGAATCAAGAATGACAGAGACAGAAAAAAAAAAAAAAGAAAGAAGAAAAAACGGAAGGAAAAAAAAGTCAAAATCACATTCCTGCCAGTGAAGCACTCCAGATTCTGACACTAACATCCCTCACTGACAGCAAGTTGAAGCCACAGACCTCAGGATCCTGAGAAGCAGAAGGAACCAGGAAAATTATTTGAGGTCCGTAAGGCTTAAATTACATTTTCATCGACGGAGTGATGATGCTGACTGTGCTAACGGAGACAGCTATACTGTGGTAGTACAGCACTTCTCTTGGAATTTCATCCTACAATTCAGTTAACACTAAAGCTTTTATAAGCATTACATTCGCAGAAGAAGATTATTTGCAAGGTTGCTCCACATCTGCAGATCAAGTTTCATATGGCATTTCATAAAACAGAACCCAAGAGCTAACACAGGGCTACCACTACTGTTATGTGGCTATATTCCTTTCTAAAGTCAGACTGCCCTTTGGGTCCCTTCAGGCTTTAATGTAAGGGAAAATAGCTGAATTTCTAGAAAAACATATGTTGGAAAAGTATGAGAAGTAATAAATCTTATATATATGACTGATTGATCTGAGCAGTTCTAAACTGTTTCTTCAATTCAGTAGTATCTTGTGCTACAACAGCTTATGGTGAAAGTGCTATAAGCAATTTTCTATGTTACTAGCAATATATCTGAAGAAATATTTCAAAACCACAGTTTCTTTCCAAGGAGCAATTTATTTTCCAGATTACAGATAAAGTCAGTATTCACTAAGTTCTAAAGATATTTTGTCTTCATTGTAGCACACTGTTAAGGTAGATCTGTCAAATCAAAAATACTCAGATGAAAGGTAAACATCCTAGAAGTACATATTCATAACAGTTAAAGCAGGTGATACTACTCTTTTACATGCCATGCCTGATATCCAAGTAGCACTAAACTGATATTTTGATCTTATTTGATTACGCAAGAACCTGATCTGCTTCTGCCTGCTGAATTCAATACTGAACAATAAAATCCATGCAAAATTCTGTTACCTTTCTGTTCCAAAGCTCCTATTTAACAGCTGAAACACCATTCAAATGTGAGGTGCTGATATTTGTGCTTTTGTTAGTGTAGGTTCCAGGAGGTCAGGTTTTGATACGCCTTTCAGTCAAGCCTGGAATTTTGTTGTATGTGCCTGAACTTTCAATGCAATCATTGACATAGGAAAACAGATAATCAAGAGTGGGAGAAACAACAAGAACAAAAAAAACAGTGTTGTGGAAGTTCACAACTTGACATTAGAATTGTGAAAAGCAAGTGAAAGTCCGTAATATAGTTAGGTAAAAGAGGAGGTATTGTCATTTGTTGAAAAGCACTTAAAACTGGACTCCACATATGAAGACTTGAATTCTGCTGTCACGCTACAGCTTATTTTTTTTTAATGAGACAGAGACATAAATTTAAAACTTAACAATTAAGTCACTTAAGTGACCTTCTTAATATTAGTTTAAATGTGAAGTAGTTAAGAGGTGTAAAAAAAACCCCCAACCAAAACAAAAAACTAACCCCCCAAAAAACCAAACAAAAACCACTACCAAAGTCCTAAATGAGAAAAACAAAACAAAACAAAACAAAACAACCAAACCTACCTTGGGTTTGAGTCAGAAAACCATCTCATATATTCAACAGTAACAACTCCTTGTTACGTTTGCCAACTGCAAAACATTTTGCTTAATTTTGCGTAATAAGACCTTTGGTTTATTGTTTAAAATGGTAGAGAATGGATCTATCAAACAAAAGAAAATCAAAGCCATCTCATCTTTAGTATTTTGGTATAATTTAGAATTATTCTTTACCTTTCTGCTATGGATGGAAGCAAAAGTCGTTATTATCCCATTAATAAAAGAAGTTAATTATAGCATAATATAAATTCATTTATAATATGTTTGTGATTTAAATGAGTCAACATTATTTAATACAGAGTAATGTAGTATTTCTTTCCAGGCTCTACAGACAATAACTTGTCTAGAACTAATCATCACTGTTGTTTCAACCCAATAAAGAGCTAAACACAGCTTCATCTGTACAAATGATACTCCTACCCTGTTCTGTATTAACTAAGCAATCATATTTAGAGTAACCAGAAGTTGCAGGCAGACATGTAGTTATTATGTAAACCCAAATTTACTACATGAGTGTGAGGATAAATTGCTGGGTAGGTAAGGAGACTATAGCTCTTACAGTTTAAATCTGCTAGGCACTAACCTTACAACTGTGGGATCAAGGTTGTAAATTCTGCCAGCAGCTACACTTCTTTTAGAAATTATTTATCAGCTGGCATTTTCTCTGGTATTTTGACAGTTCCATGCTAGCTGTGAGGGATGCTTTCAGTCACAACTACAACAACTACACCACAAGTGAGAAAGTCTGCATTAGCTTCTTCAGTGATAGAAGGCTCATTAATATGTCAGAGAAATTGTGACAATAAAATTGTAGAAAATGGCCATTGCAATGATTCATTTCTTACACAGTTGAATAAAGAGTTGCCCTCTAGCATAATACTGTATTATAGCCAAAGGAAGTTAGCCCAAGTACTGCCCCTGCATATTCTATCTCGGCACGAAGCAGCACTCCATTCCCTGGAGAAAACTGAGACAATTATATTACCACTCACATATGAATGTGATCTAGCAAATCTGAAAACCCAGAGATTGCTAAAACAGTCACTATGCAGGAGGAGTACTGCCTAAAGGCCACCAAAATGACTAACCAAAGAAATTTTTGTCCATGAAACTTTGAAAAGTCTTTAGCTACAACCTTTGCTTTTAAAAATTAATTTCATGTTGTAAATCCATTCAAATTTCAATCAGCCCTTTCATGCATTTCTGGTAATGTGCAATTTTTATTTAACTCCTGCTAGCAGACAGGCACCACATATAACCAGGGAGCTGCTAGCTTACTCTTCTGCCTAGTCCCCTTCACATGTATGGAACTATCAGCCCTGATACCAAACACAGATGTAGCAGGATAGTTTAGATTCCTAGTTTGCAGCTGCCTTATCAGATTCCTAGCAAATTATAGGGCACATTTTTGCATTTGTACACCATGGAAAACTTCTCACTCACGTCAGTGTTTTATGTGATTCAGAAAATCAGAAATTCAGAAGCATTTTCAGTTTCACAATTCTGTTTCCAACAGAAGCGTATGCAGACACCATTTGCCACAGCATACCCGTGTAGGAAAGACAGTCATAACCTTCCTGGGCTGCACCAGGCAGACCATTGCCAGCAGGTCGAGGGAGGTTATTCTTCCCCCCTGCTCAGCCCTGGTGAGACACAAGTGGGTGCTGGGTCCAGTGCTGCGGCTAACCAGTGCAAGAGAGACAGGGACATACTTCATTGAGTCCAGTGATGGGTGACAAAGGTCACTAAGGGCCTAGAGCATCCAGCATACAAGCAATAAGAGAGCCGGGATTGTCCAGCCTGCAAAAGAAAAGGCTCAAGGGGAATCTTATCAGTGTGTTTCAAAACTGATTGGGGGCAGGAAAGGTGACAGAGACACTTTTTTTCAATGGTGCCCAGTGACAAGACAAGAGGCAATAGGCACAAACTGAAACATAGGAAATTCTTTTTAAAAATAAGAAAAAGCATTTTCACTGCAAGGGTGATCAATTGGAACAGGTTGGCCAGACAGTCTCCATCCCTGGAAATATTCAAAACCACCTGAACACCGCCCTGATCAACCTGCTTTAGTTGCCCATGCTTTGAGAAGGAGGAGTTGAACTAGAAGCTCTCAGAGGCATCTGCTAATCTGGGACTCTGTGATTTCGTTTGTGGTCACATCATTTCCAAATGTAACAACAGAATTGCTCGCAGGAAAACAAACAAACAGACCACCCCACAAAAACACAGAACTCCACTGTTGTTTAAAGTATGTTATAAATATAGCAGTTTGGCACACAGTATACACACTTTTAAGGAAAAAAAGCCTACTTGATTAACAATAGGAAACATTTATATATTGGTGGGGAGATACTAAAATCCTTCAAGGTGAAACCAAGCAGAATTTGACCACCAGGGTTTCACATGGCACATTGCTAATAGGGACACAAGGTCAACCCAATCCAACAGCTAGAAACAAGGAAACACAGTAACACTCCAACAACCAGATCTTACAAGGCATGAGCAGTTTCTGGACCTCTAGTCAGAAATTTCTAGACTTTGACGTAGTATAAACATATTTTAATACGCAAGTTAATAAAAAATAGTATACTCTACCTGATAGCCAAATGTGTTGTTTTGTGACCCGTGCCTTGGGACTCCTGGATTTTCACATGCTGTGCGAGTAGGTTCTTAAAAAATAAAATACAAAAAATAAAAGACAAAACAAATTTCAGTATTTTAATGAAAAACATGACAGTATCACAAAATTAAACTTGTTCTACAACATGAAAAAAGCCAATGAGAGAAACAAAAACAAAGTGACTTGATTCTTAGAGTATAGGATAATTCAAAATAGCTGAAAACTCCAAAATTGACTTAGCAGGAAAAAGAATAATTAGAATTTCAAGAAGTTTCAATAATATGAGTGTAACCTTACCAATACATCGAGGAGAAGAACCACTCCACGTGCCATCTGCTTGGCAAATCCTGGTGCTGGAGCCAACCAAAATAAAAGGAGGATTGCAGCTGAAAGAGACTTCTGACTGATAGATGAAGCTTTTGCCTTCTCTCTTCCCTTGAGCAGGTACTCCAGGGTCACCACAAAACTTTGCTGTGAGAAAAGACATGACAGAAATTGAAAGTGTAATTTATTAAAATACAAAAAAAACCCACTTAGCTGAACTCACTCAAGCAGTTACTCCAAATTTTATATTTGTTTTATAAACACAGGTCTAATACAGAAACATTCAATTGGAATTCAAAGAGAGACTAGATAGCTAATCTGTAGTCTGCTTCAGTTTGCAGTAGTTTTGCTAGCTGTTCAAAATGCCTACATAGTGGGTGTGGTCAGTAGCTTGAAGTTGACACTCAAGGTTACATAATTTATTTTGTTAAGGCCCAAATATCCACAATTCACCTCTGCCCCAACCCACATCAATCTGTAAATCCTCCTATAGAGAGCAATCAGAGTGTACCAAACTTTCATGTCAATCTCCCGTCCTCTCCTGCTTTCTGCCACCTACCCTGTGCTCCACATTTTTGTATGATTAAAGGATTTGTCAGACAGATTTAGGAACTGTAAATTATTGCTTCCTCATCCTTCACTGAAAGATAAGATCTGGTATGTACAACACTTGAAAGTTAGTACAGTTAACAAAAAAAAAAAAAAAAGTAAAGAAATTTCAAAAAACAGGAATCTAAAAGTCAAACACTAATAAGCTGTTATTAGGTGGGATAAATTTGACTGATAAGAACATCTGCTTAAATGAATCTTTTTACTTTATACCTATCTCCTACAGATTTCTTATGTCTAAAGCATAGCATAACTAAGTAAATGCACTGCTGGCAAATTTACTGGCCTTCTGCACTATAAAGTACTGATTAATGTCAGAAGCTGGATTTTGAATAATTGATTCAGTAAATGCAATCAGCTATGGTAAATGCTGTGCCATCAGACTATATTATTCCCTGACACACCATGAATTACAATATTGTAGAGTCTAATTTCATATCAAACAGAAAATGCTGTAATACACACCTAAAAAAAAACCAAAAAACAAAACCAAAACCACTAACCCACATGTGTACAATGACATATTTCTAAAAAGGCATGTTGTACAGACAGTGGAATTTAATGATCTATCTTTCTCTTCAACAAAATTTAAATAACATCTCTTTAACAATCATATTCCAAATACATTTCTAATTTCTCTATCTTTGTCACCTATGCCTTAAGTTTTCCAAAGGGCCTGCTCACATGAAATGCTCCTGCCCTCTACCTCTTACTGCAGACAGTGAATGTATGGGAAATGCATGCACACACACATTGTTGAAGAAAAACAGCTTAATCTATACATACCATAAATATATACAATTTCATGGCTTTAAGTAGAATGGGACTGTCTGCAGAATTATAGGCCAAATTCTGAAAAGATCTATAAATTGTGGATAGTGTCACACAGTGAAACTCGTCTGATTGACAGATCATGGTTGTAATTTATGTTTTCATTAGAAAATTCTGTGGAAATCTTAATTTGACAATACATGAAACACTTACAGATTTTTAACACAGAGGCTTGAAATTGTCTCCTGAACAGTTGTTTGTACCAACAAAGTAACAACCACTCTCGAAGGAAAAAAAATCATCACATTAAAAAATGAGGGGGTTTGTAACTATTTTTTTGTTTTTTTTGTAAAACTAAGTAAACTCCACCACTTAGTAGTCAGTCAACTTTACACACTCATTGAATAGCTACTGAATATCTGCCTTCTATACAGGTAACCATGGAAACAGGGCACATGGTAAAACATGGCAGTATTCCTCTGATATTGGAACAGGGGACTACAAAACAAATTAAAGTCTCAGCAAACTGGATACTCTGTGAGTGCTCCCACTCCCAATGGAAATATTTTGCTAAGGAATCTGAGAGCCTTTAACAGAGACAGGGCCATGGAGCTCTGACACTGAGGCTGTGAGGCTAGTTTCATTCTTCAAAGACATTTAATTGATTAACAACAATTTATATCTATAGTTAGGAGTTTTCAGGCACAGGCCATTTTTTTTTTTTTTTTTTTTTTTTTGCCACCTATTACCAAGCTTATAAAACCAGCAGTCCTTTACTCAAATAACTATATGAATAATTAAGCAAATTTACCTGATCATAGTCTTCAGCGACATCTTTATGGACCAAGCTGGGAACTAAATTTCTGATGTCAAGAACTGCTTATAGATTGCTCACTGAGAATGACTTTCACCATCTCCCTCTCATTTCTGCCAGATGGCAGCCAGTTTAAGCTCCTTGACAAGTACTGGCTGGCGATTGATTTTTCTTGCCAGTTTAAGCTCCTTGACAAGTACGGGCTGCCGATTGATTTCTCTTGCGAGCCAATGGGTAACCATTGCACATCAACAACATTCAGTTAATGTAATCTCTGTACGAAGCAACCTTTAATTCTCAGGCAGCTGCATTCTGTGCTAACTGTACCTTTTAAAAAGTTTAATGGTGGAACCCCTTTTTCAGAGCATATTGCAGTATTGAGTATTCCAACCTCAAAGATGACGAAGAGCTTGTGGTATCCAAAAATAAATGTAAGGACACAATATTTCAATGAAGAGTAAATGATGAAAAGAATTTTTCCTGGTCTTTGATGTTCATAATATAGTGGACTCTAGAAGAGTTCCATCCAGAGAACTTAAACAACAAATGGTGGGGTTTTTTTCTTCCAGAAACAATGCCTTTCACCATGTTCCATCTCTGATGCATACAGTTTCAGCAGCACTAAGCAACTGTTGTTATGCGAATATCATTAGGGAAAAAAGGAAAAGATCACCTATGTGATATGCTTCCATAGTAGTAGGATATAGCCAAAACAGAGAATATTTTTGAGAGCTGAAGAATGCAAAAAATAGTAAAAGATTGGAGAACTGCATTTTGCAATATTTAGCAATCTACCTGACAAGCTCAGCTATTTGTCAAGCTTGAATTAAACTTCAGAAACTGTAAAGCCATGAAGATAAAATTATCCTCTTCCATTTAGACTCCTTGCTCAAGAGCATTAAAGAGTTTCAGTGGTATAGCTATTCTACACATAACTACAGAACCTCTTCTTCAGTGCAATTAATTGAATATCTCTCAGAAGCATCACAATCACTTTTTTAAAAAGATTTTTTAAATAATGAGTGCAATGACACCAACCTAAAGAAAAAGCCACATTTGTTATTATAATTAAATTTCTAGCAATATAAAAATCCATCATTGTTATAACTTCCAGGTTAACAAAATTTACTGCATAAAACATGTAACTTAATTTAGTGTAAGAGGAAAAATAGACAATTGTCAAGGAATCACCCTGGGGCCTCGTCAACATTAGCAACAGAAAAAAGTCTCTGTGACATCAGAGAAAGTTTAGGATGAGTAATGAGCAAATAAAAGAGATTATAATGAAACTTGCCCTATTCTATACGTAGCTGGGTCTGAAAACAAGACAGCACCTCTTAATCTTGTTTTGCCTTGGATCATTTGGTACACATTGCCTGTAATGTTTGGTTTGTGTTTGTGTTTAAGGCTTCCTATATACTCACAAAGATTTACAGATATTCCTATGTCTTCCACAATATAAAAAATTATGTTACAATTTTGGAAAATACAGAGGGATTGTATTTGAATTTATATATTCCAGGTTGGAAATGAACTGAGCTGTTGCTAGGGGGGGGGAAACCCAAACAAACAAACAAAAAAAACCCCAAACCAAAAACTTTAAAGAGGGAAGTTGAATAAAGAAATACAGGACCATAAAGTAAATACATACGCAAGCACTGAGGTACTTCACCACTCCATGTTCCATTCCCAACGCAAGTCAAAACAGCAGGAAAAGAGAGTTCATATCCTGGAGAGCAGACATAGCTAATGCTAAATCCCCAGTCCAAGTTTGTTCCTTCCAACCTTCCATTAGAGATCTGCGGAGGAGTTGGGCAGGTAACAGCTGCAATAATATTCAAAATAATTAGGCCCAGCTGCTGTAAATATCCCCAGTGTGCACAATTACTAGAAGAACCATATGTGCTAATTTCACCTTTTTTAGAGGACAATACAATCAGGACATGTTGTCTTCCTCCCTGTATTCTTGCCACATTTCCTGAAGTTAGTACTTCAGGTTTCCTCCATTAAGGAGACAGTGGCTGATTGATGAAGGGTCTTAAATAAAACACAATATTTCATCAAACCTAATAGGAAGACTACCTAAAAATCAGTATGGAGACTATGAAGTGTAGAACATTTAAGATATGTCTGGTAGTACACTATAAGATGATTTTGTTTGTCTGTTTAGACAACATAGAATACAATTATCTTTAGTTACTGTGGTAATAGTCAAATGCTTTCTTCCTGTTAACCAGCTTAAGCATTTGCTAGATATTAAAGCCCAGGGATGAAATTCCAGGACAATTGCTCCACAATATGGCTTGAAAGCTTGTTTCTAAGTACCACAGTTTGGTTAGCATTTGCTTCACGAATAGCTTCTCTCCAAAAAGCATCTAGCTTCTAGCTGGAGGGAGAAAATTTAAGGATTTCCAACCTCTTGAAATTGTCAGTGTTGCTACCTCTAAGAAGGCCAACAAGAAGTATTTCACTATAATTTCTCATTTCCAAGCCTCCCAGGAAAAAGTAGAAATATCTTCTACTCAACTATAGGAAAGAGGACTGAAAAACACCACAGGAGGACAGTAGAAATAAACAGATCTAACTGTAGAGATGAAGATAAAAGTGATATTCACTGGATAATGGGGTAGTAACAGACAATTGCTGATTAAGAGCTGAAGGGAAAGGGGTATAAAAGAAGTTAAATGAAAAAAAAAGTGAATCAAAAAGAGAAAGGGGGAAATTTAGGCCAAAGTTACTGGAATGAATGAGAAAGAGAAAAGTAAAAAAGAGAAAAGTTGGGAGAAACTGTGCTAGCAAAGGAGAAAGTGAGCAAATGAAACTAGTCTGATTTAATTTAGACAGCTGGGGCAAATGAGAAGAGGTGGTGACTAAAAATAAAGCAGAGAACACACAGGTCACAAGAACATAAGAAATGAAAATCTGCACTCATAACCTTTAAACTTATGTTTAGACAGCTGTCATCTAACGGGCCCAAAAGAAGTCAGAGGCACTAAATCAGGAGTACTGTCTATTTTAATGTGATCTGCAGAAGGTTCACCATGTCCCATTTCTCCATTCTTATTACACACTTCAATGAGAGAATCTCTACTGGTTACATCACAAAGATGCTCTGCAGCATAATTCATGGCTGTTTGAGAATGCTGGATGAAAGTAGTACTATTATCAAATAATTCTTTGCCAACCAGTAAACCAAATCTAAATGTTAAGCCCCTATTTTTTATACTATCTGTTTCTCTTGCTCTGGTTCATAGTTTAAAAAAAAAAAACAAACACCAAACAATCAACCCAAAAAAGGACACGATAGCTTTTGCCACATTTTCATGATGCTCTAATAAAAGTAAGTCAAAATAAGTACTCCAAGCAGCAAAAGTCTGTTGGCATTCTCGAGGAACATCATGACTAGTCCTTTAAACAGGATCTGTATGTTTTAACTTCTGAACTGAATAATAAAGGAAGAAGTACTAGTCAGTAATTAGAAAGGAGACAGAAGCAGCAGCATGAAAATAGGTGTAAGATAAAAATTTTGGGGTGAAGAAATCAACAACTCCCAGCAATAAGGCAGAACGCCTCTCTAAATATTTTGGTCAGAGATATAACCACAAATATGTACACCAACATTTCTCAATTTAAGAGCTGAAAATACATTAAAAATACAAGTCTGCAGAAAAGACAATTTTTGCATAGTTGAATATTTAGTTGCAGATTAACATGCATCCTCTTCCAACTAGGCAAAGCCAGAGAATTATTTATATCTTCTATTTCAATAGCACTGTGACAATTACGCATCCATTTTCTGCCCAGTTCATTTTCCAATTATTTTAACTAAATGGTACCAGAGGACCCTGGCACTTCCTCCTCACAGTAAGAACTAATTGTGATACATTTCAAACACACTACTGCATATTAGATAGAATGACAGAATCATGGAATGGTTTGGGTTGGAAGGGACCTTAAAGATCATCTAGTTCCAATCACTCTGCCATGGTCAGGGACCCCCTCCACTAGACCAGGTTGCCCAAAGCCTCATCCCACCTATCCTTGAACACTTCCAGAAATGGGGCATCCACAGCTTCTCTAGGCAACCTGTTCCAGTGCCTCACCACCCTCACAGAGAACTTTTTTTTCCTAATACCTAATCTAAATCTACCCTCCTTCAGTTTAAAACCATTAACCCTTGTCCTATCACTACATGCACCTTGTAAAAAGTCCCTGTACATTTTTCTTGTAGGCCCACTTCAGGTACTGGAAGACTGCTATAAGCCCTCCCCAGAGCCTTCTCTTCTGCAGGCTGAACAACCCCAACTCTCTCAGCCTGTGATCTTATGGGAGGTGCTTCAGCCCTCTGATCATCTTTGTGGCCCTCCTCTAGACTTGCTCCAACAGCTCCATGGCTTTGTTGTATTGGGGACTCCAGAGCTGGACACAGTACTCCAGGTGGGGTCTCACAAGAGCAGAGTAGAGGGGCAGGATCACCTCCCTCAACCTGCTGGTCACACCTCTTTTGATGCAGCCCAGGACACGGTTGGCTTTCTGGGCTGCAAGCACACACTGCCGGCTCATGTTGAGCTTCTCAGCAATCAATACCCCCAAGTCCTTCTCCTCAGGGCTGCTTTCAATCCATTCCTCGCCCAGCCTATAGTCGTGCTTGGGATTGCGCCGACCCACGTGCAGTACCTTGCACTTCGCGTTGTTGAACTTCATGAAGTTCCACAGGCCCACCTATCAAGTCTGTCAAGGTCCCTCTGGATGTCATCCCTTCCCTCCAGTGTGTCGACTGCCCCACACAGCTTGGTGTCATTGGCAAACTTGCTGAGGGTGCACTCGATCCCACTGTCCATGTCTCTGACAAAGATGTTAAACAATGCTGGTCCCAGTACCGATCCCTGAGAAATGCCACTCATCACCGTTCTCCACTTGGACTTCAAGTCGTTGACTGCAGCTCTTTGAGTGTGACCATCCAGCCAACTCCTTACCCACCAAATGGTCCATCCATCGAATCCATGTCTCTAATTTAGAGACACAGATGTCGTGCGGGACAGTGTCAAATGCCTTGCACAAGTCCAGGTAGATGACATCAGTTGCCCTTCCATTGTCCACCAATGCTGTCACCCCATCATAGAAGGCCACCAAGTTTGTCAGGTACTATTTGCCCTTAGTGAAGCCATGTTGGCTGTCACCACTCACCTCCTTATTTTCCATGTGCCTGAGCATAGTTTCCAGGAGGATCTGCTCCATAATCTTGCCGGGCATGGAGGTAAGACTGATCAGTCTATTGTTCCCCAGGTCTTCCTTTTTTCTCTTTTTAAAAATGGGGGTTATGTTTCCTCTTTTTTGGTCAGTGGGAACTTCACTGGACTGCCACAGCTTCTCAAATATGATGGAGACTGGCTTGGCCACTTCATCCACCAGTTGCCTCAGGATCCGTGGATGCATCTCATCAGGTCCCATGGACTTGTGCACCTTCAGGTTCCTTCAATGGTCTCGAACCTGATTTTCTCCTACCATGGGCGGTTCTTCATTCTACCAGTCTTTGCCTTCTGCGACTTAGGTGATGTGGCTAGAGCCCTTGCTGGTAAAGACTGAGGCAAAAATGTCATTTAGTACCTCAGCCTTCTCCATATCCTGGGTAACCAGGTCTCCTGTTTCCTTCTGGAGAGGGTCCACATTTTCGCTGCTCTTCCTTTTATCACTGACATACCTATGGAAACTTTTCTTGTTGCCCTTGACATCCCTGGCCAGATTTAATTCTATCATCAGGGCTTTAGCTTTCCTAATCTGATCCCTGGCTGCTCAGACAGTTTCTCTGTATTCCTCCCAGGCTACCTGCCCGTGCTTCCACCCTCTGTAGGTTCCCTTTTTGTGCTGGAGTTTGTCCAGGAGCTCCTTGTTCATCCATGCAGGCTTCCTGACATTTTTGCCTGACTTCCTCTTTGCTCCTGAGGTTGTAGGAAGTGATCCTTGAATACTAACCAGCTTTCTTGGGCCTCTCTTCTCTCCAGAGCTTTGTTTCATGGTAGTCTACCAAGCAGATCCCTGAAGAGGCTAAAGTCTGGTCTCCTGATGTCCAGGGTAGTGAGCTTGGTGTGTGCCCTCCTCACCACCTTAAGGTTCTTGAACTCCACCATTTCATGGTCTCCGCAGCCAAGGTTGCCCTTGAGTTACACTTTCCCCACCAGACTCTCCTTGTTGGTGAGAACAAGGTCCAACATGGCACCTCTCCTCGTTTGCTCCTCTGTTACTTGGAGAAGAAAGTTATCATCAACACATTCCAGGAACTTCCTGGATTGCTTATGCCCTACTGTGTTGTCCTTCCAAAACATATCAGGGTGGTTGAAGTCCCCCAGGAGGACCAGGGCTTGTGAATGTGAGGTTGCTCCTATCTCTCTGCAGAGGGCCTCATCTGCTTGGTTGGGTTGCCTGTAGCAGACCCCCACTATGATATCCCCTGTCCCTGCCCACTCTTTAATCCTGACCCGTAAATTTTTGGTGGGCTCCTCATCCATCCCCAAGCAGAGCTTCATACACTCTAGCTAGTCATTGACATAGAGGATGACACACCCTCATCTCTTCTGCCTGTCCTTCCTAAAGAACCTGTATCCTTCCATTCCAACACTCCAGTCATAGGAGCCATCCCACCATGTCTCTGTGATGCCAATGAGATCATGTATTACTTCTAATTACACAGTCAAAGAAATGGGGCTTATTAACTTACCTAGTGCACTCACACAAACCTGTATGGAGTAGATCGAAATTCTGAGAACAGGACATATTCTGCATATAATTATTATTTAGTATTTATACAAGCCATAAAAACATATGACCTAAAACCAGAAAGACTCAAAAACTCAAAGCCAAACTTGACAGTCTCTTTTGTTGTATGGTCCAGTTGGAATCAAATGAGAGTTAGATGTCCTCCTCCCAGTTAAGAATTTAAGGCTGCGATGCTATATCATAAATACTTGTTCTGTCTTAGGATCTTCTAGCTGTTCGCTTACAGCCACTCTTGGAGACAGACAGACTCTTGGTCAATAGGACCAGTATGGCTGTTCTTCCATTCTGAAAATCAGTTTTGTAATTGAAGTTAAGGCTGGCTAAGAGCACATTGCAAATAGAAAAAAAAATTAATTGTTAAGAGGATCTTGAAGTATGACAACCTTTAAGAATGTGTTGGGAATGTAACTTTAAAAATTTACATTATCAAAGGTGAAATATAATTAAACTGGAGTTGGTAAGATATTGGGAGAATTGTATTCAGCAAGGAAAGTAATTGCAAATGGGGTGGAGATTTGAAATTTGTTTGATCTGTTTTGATGAATGAATTCAGAGGAGGAAAATGAGAACTGCTGAGCATGTATGTAACTGTACTTCCTGAAAACAACACAGAAGGAAGATGGATGAGAACAAAGTAAGTACAAACATAACCAAGTTGGCTAAAAATAGAGATCAGGCATACTTAGTGTGAACCCAGAAATAAAACACCAAAACAGTAACACTGCTTCTCTACAGCTGTGGTATCAGGAAGAGAGAGAAAAATGACTCCAGAGAGAAGACGTTTTAGGGTTTAGCAAGTGAGCTTCTCAGAGAAAATTGATTTGATGGCACAGATAAGGTAGCCTTTCAGTAACATTCATATTTTTTGCTGTTTAAATTTCAACAGGGAGCATTAAAAAATTCCAATAAAACAGAAAAAAATCATGAATGTAATTAATAAAAGAGAGAAAAGGAAGATCTTGAGATTAATCTTTTCAGTTTTCACAGTAGAGAAAATGATATGAAACAGAAAAATATTTATTAGGAAATTTGCCAGAAGGATTGAGTCTTTCTGCTGAGTGTGCTGATACAGTACAGTGATGCTCAAAGCTGCACGTCTAATGAAGGAGGAATCAAAGAAAAATCTTAGTGTTATGGATAGGGTAACATGGAACAATTTGCCTTTGACAAAGTTCAGTTGTATTTATGCAGACCTTTCCCAAAGATGTGTATCACATGCTTGAGTGGTCCTTTTGTAAAGACAGGGACATATATAATGTCATTTTTGGTATGACAGGCTCACCTTAAACAAACAAGCGAACGAACAAACAAACAAACAAACAAACAAATAAATCTAAGCCATAATTTCACATTGGTTAATTCAGTTTAGCAGCAAAGTAATAAAATGTTCTGTCAAGATACAACATATTGCGCCGGTATGAAAAATAAAAAGGAAAAGAAGCAAAGGATGAAGTCACTGTTCCTGCAGCCAAAAAAATCAATTCAGTGTATTCAAACTAGCAGTAAGTTTTGATTTCTGTGGAAATATTTGTCTGACTCATTACAATAAACAGTGGATGTAAATGTCATAGAAGAAATAGTTGACAAAATAAATGTTGTACCTTTGCATGTTGGGATTACTCCACTCCATGTGCCATTGCTAGTACAAGTGCGAATTACGGAGCTATTTGATTCCATTGTATAACCAGGTTGGCACATGTAAGTAACATTTTGTCCAACAACATAATCATCACCATATCTCATGCCATTCGCTGGGACTCCTGGATCTCCACAACTGATAACTGTAAATAAATATTTGAGGAACAGATTTTACAACCTGAATGTGATTAATTTATATGCAAGGGGGAAAACATAGAGCAAAACTAGGAATTTATTGGGGAAAAAAGGAGAAGGGAAATTATCATAAATCTTATCTCCATCAAGAGAAGATAAACATATATGTCATCTGAATTAGTTGCAAAACACAACATGTGGACCTGTATAACAGCTACATTTGGAGAACATAAATACATCTGTCCAATAGTAGAAGTAATGGACTGTATAATTTTGATCAGTAAAATCTCAAGATTTTAAAATGAAAAGAAGTGCAAGAAATAATCCATATGTCATTACTACACTTTGATACCCTCAAATTTTCCTATCAGTTCAGAGCTTCATTGCTAAAGAAGCAGATTTCTATTGTTTAGTTTACTTTTGCACTGGTACATCCTAAAAGAAAACACAGCTTGGAAAATTTCAGATATATGTCTGCAAAACATTCCCACTTTGTAAATGCTCACATGGTTATTATGTGCATAAACAGATGGGAATGTTCAGGCCAAACAAGGGCCATGGCTTATCATAAAATTAGTCATATAGCACTTTAATGAGTGGGAATGGTTGTAAAACCTCTTTGACTTTTAGTGTCAGGAGATAATTTAATCTCCTAATGAGATTAAATGTTCATAAGGAGCTAATAAAGAATTATATCATTATAATCTGAGAATAATGTTGAAATAGGTTAGTTTCTCTCAGACCTGGTCAATTGGATCTTTCAATTTCTGGAACAGTTTTCAGAGTAAGAAATCCTGAGAACCCTAGTGGCAATGATAAAAAACTATTGTTTTCAGGAAAAAAATAAACACCAGGAAAAAACCTAGTTCATACAAAATACAGCATGTGTTTTACAGTTTATCTTATAGTAAACTTGACACACCACAAGGTTATCTGGGTTAGTCTAAAGGTAGCTAGTGCAGTGATAAAGAAAACTGGAGATCAGCCTATTTTCCTTTGTCATTCCTTCTCCTCAAAATAAAAAAAATAAAAAAAATAGAGTTGTAAAAGACAGTAATGTTTCTCTTAGTTACACAAGTATCTTCAAATGCTCTACATGTCTATCTTTCTTTCTTTGACATATTCCATTTACTATCCTTAATGTTGCAAATTAAACTAAAATCATCCTTGATATTTTTCCAGTTATAATATTGTTTTGACTGGATTACAACATAATTCTCATGCCTTTATTCTTGTTTCCCTAAACCTTGTTTCACCTCTTTAGATTTTCCTGTACGAAGAATATGTCAAATCATTGCCTTATGAATTTAAGAACATGCAAACACCATACACCACGTATGATCAAACAGCTCCACAAACCATCCATTTATTTTATACTGTTTAACACTATTTTCATTGTTTACTTAAATCCAACTAAAACTGTGTTCTCAGCTTTTTTGTTCACTTTACTTACAACCTCCATTTCTTTCTTTTAGTCATTAATACAAAATCTATGCTTCTTCCACTGTTACTGTTACTGTAATGATTTTACCCTTTCCTGCTACTGACAATTTAACATTGACCTGCTATACAGCAAGAGCCACCATGGCATTAGCAGATCTCTAGATTGTTCTACCTTCTCAAAATTCCTACCTTCCTATCATTAACTTTTTCAAGCCATATTTTAAAGAAAAGAAAAAGGAAAAAAACCCAAAAAACCCAAACCTGATTTTCTTTGATGTATTTTTTCCCTTCTGTACTTACTAGTCTTTATCCTACTATAGGAAAAAGAGTTGCATGAAAGAAAAGACTTGAAGGAAAAGAGTCATTCTTCATATTACTGTGTTGTAACAGTAGAACTGTTCATAGAGGTGAGTTAGCAGAGGTAAGGAAAAGATCCTTTTGCTCTTTTGTCTTATACTGCAGCATTTGACTTTCAAAGAAAGCAAAGGGAGATGTAAGGAGGTGACCTAGATTTTACTGAGATACTGTGTTTTGTCATAAACATGGGAATAAAACTTTAACTAAAAGAAACATGCAGTAATTTCTTAGCAGGCTCAGTGGCATCTTCTGAAATTCACAGATTGGGACAGTCAGAGAATCACAGAATGGTGAGGTTGGAAGAGACCTCTGGTTATCTTGTCCAACTCCCCTGCTCAAGTAGTCCATCCAATGACCCAAAGTTGGACCACCACCGCTTAAGTCACTGTGGTAGGCAAAACCCATCTTAAACTGTTGTATTGATCCTGACCAGAAGACCATTGTGCATCAAGGAGTCGGTGCCCCACAATACAGTTAACGTGAGGAGCTCCAGGACCGTGCTGCACTGTGCTGCACATCCAGCATGGCCTTCAGACCTGTGTGGTGTGGCACAGACCCCTTGGCCAGGGCACAGCCTCAGCCAGCTCATTGCAACAGAGGAGCTGCAGCAATTGCAAGAGCTGCATGTCCTTGCTTTTCATGTAGCAGTGCAGCAAGAAGTTCTCGTGAGAACATTGTTTCTGTTTGACTGTAGAAATGATAGAGTTGTTTCAAAAAAACCAAAAGAAAATCCTATAATAGCTCGAACAACTGACAGGGGAGAATCTTGGGGCTGCATGGCATGCTAAACAGCATGCATGTGGGTCAGAGTCTTGTTTGATGCTACACTGTCCAGGCCTCCCAGCACCTACAGAGGCATAAGCTTATCTATGCTATTTTTTTCTTACAGTGCTAGCTCTAAAAAATAGCATTTTCAGTGATATGCAAGAAACTGCCCATTACTTGGTAGCTGTATTAAGTATGAGCTGGCTGTAAATTTTTGTAACATCTGAACTAAATAAAAATGGCATATCCTGAATCTTCCTATTAATACAGACATGAGACACAACAACCAGTTAGGATGCTGATGTGTGTTATGTGTCCGCTTAGAGTGGTGTGGAGTCCCAGAAAGAACGTGAAGATCCTGTCTGGAGAAAAGATGCTGGAATTGGGGAAGATCCTAGAAAAGGCAATGTGTGGAGACAAATGTCAGGGGATGATCCTTACTTATAACACCTGAGTTTCGTATGACCAATGGCACAGCATAAACTAACGGGACTTTAAACTTGTCCTTCCCAGGACACCAGAGACCTCCCCAAATGTAACCCTGAGGGGGAGGAAGGAAGTGTGACATAATGAGGCAGGTAAAAGCTCTAAACTGCATGGTTCTTAAATGGACACCAACATCCAGAACCGCTGTGGGTTGGTGTTTACTTTGTGTCACCCACCACACAAAGTTGGATCAGGTGCTTGCCTAAGCTGTTCTGGAAACCTGCAATGGTTCCATGAGGTTCCATGACTTGAACAGGTGATAAGCAAATTTTGGGAAACCTTGCCATAGTAAAAAATGGAGAGTATGCGTACTGGGATAGAGTTAATTTTCTTCATAGTAGCTAGTATGGTGGTGTGGATTTGTGATGAAAACAGCATTGATAACACAGGGATGTTTCAGTTATTGCTGAACAGTACTTGCACAGCATCAAGGCCGCCTCTGTTTCTCACACTGCCCTGCCAGCGAGTAGGCTGGGGCTGCTCAAGAAGTTGGGAGGGGACAGAGCTGGGATAGGTGACCCCAACTGACCAAAGGTGTATTCCATACCATATGATGTCATGGTCAGTAATAAACCATGCAGAAAGGAGGGACATTCGTAGTAATGATGTTTGTCTTCCCAAGAAACCACTACGCATGATGGAACCCTGCTTTCCCGGAGATGGCTGAACACCTGCCTGCCCATGGGAAGTGGCGAATGAATCCCTTGCTTTGCTTGTGTGCGTGGCTTTTGCTTCACATTATGATTGTCTTTAACTCAACCCACAAGTTGTTGCACTTTTACCTTTCCAATTCTCTCCCCCATCTCACTGGTGGGGAGTGAGTGGCTGAGTGGCTGTGTGGTGCTTAGCTGCCTACCAGGGTTAAACCACAATAAAATGCTAGGAACAGTTAGGAAAAAAATTAAATAAAACCTGCCCTGTCAACAAAGTCTGTTGACACTGCCAGTTCTACTGCTTTGGATACACTTTTAAATCATTACGAGAAATTTTTTTCCTTACAACAGATAATCTTCAGGCTGATTTTATAGACCTGGCAGGAGAAAGAGAGGGGATTGTTAACTCACGATCTGTTAACTAGCTATTTAGCTGATATTGTCAGCTAAATATTGATATTTACTGATATTATCGATAATACTGATATTATTGATATTGACTCTTGTAAATTATCTGTTAGTGACTTAAAATTGATATTTTGTTGTAAGAGAACACACAGCAAGTTAAGTATGATGAATTTTAATATATTTTTAATATTTAGATGTGCTGGGGAATTATAGAATTAAAGGTCTGTAGAAAGGGACACAGATTGGACACCGCGCTGCACAATCTGCTCTAGCTGATCCTTCTATGAGCAGAGGGGTTGGAACAGACAGTCTCCAGAGGTGATTGTTGACCTCAGCCATTCTGTGATGCTGTAAAATGCCTCTTCATTTCTGGGTGTTTTAGAGCTGCTGCTAGTACCTGTATCAGCTTAGATACAAGTTTTAGCACATAGTAGTGCTTCCTCCCCCTTTTAGGAATTAGATAATAGTCAGCAATGATCAAAAAGGCAGAAATGAGTCTCAGAGTTAGTACCTTTCTTGGAAAGATTTTCATTCAACTGTTCTTTTCATATTCTGACCACTCCAGGGGTTACACATCAAACTAAAAACCCCTAAACAACATTATGACTGGAATAAACATACAAGAGGATGTACTTTTTAGATGTGTAATCGTAACAAAGAGAGAACCGTGTATTAGGAATGTCAATAAATAACAAAGTTAAAATACTTCTATATTAATTAAATCAAGAATATTGTTTTATACTATATATACTCTTCCCAATGCCTCTCTGTCTTATGTGGATATGTTCTCTGTTAAGACATTTTTCTAGGTTTTAACCCAAAATCCCAAGTTTCCACCTGAGTAGTGTTTTTTGAGAAGACTGTTCTAGCATGTGCTTCATCTAAATGTAATTCTAAAATAGGAAAAAATATAGATGCAGTTACCGTCACAAAACACCTTTATCCTTGGTACAATTAATCTGGTTCTCATTATCACTTGGAAAATAACAAATAAACAAAAACATTGGGCTCTCAGGTTTGCTGACTGCAAAAGCAGCTGTTCACATGCCTACCATTAAAGATGGATTTAAAAACAACACAAGAAGTTTTCTTTACCATCTTACTTTTGGCCTCTATTTGGGTTGCTGTAAGTCTGTAAAGTAGCTAACTGCAAAAACTAGGGTACTAGTTCAAAATTTAAGTAACAGTTTGCTATACCTCTGATGAGGATATGTTTCCTCAAAATCATAGGCAGTTTTATCTGTCACCTAAATGTAAAATTTTCATAATTGTTACTAAAAATTAACTAGTACATCTAGTAATAAATACTAGGACTAGTAACAAGGCAGGAACAGATGAGCTTGAAAATAAACTGTTGCAAAATTCTTATTATGAATATAAGAGAAGCTGAAATGTCTTCTTTTAGCTGAGTAACCAAAGTAAGTATAAGGTTAATGAAGAGACCGAATAGAAGATGTTATCTGAGAGCGGGAAAAGAGTTTTGACCTCAGAGTCACTACAAAAAGAATTCTTAAGTATTCATTTCAAGGTTTTTATTTTCAGCCCTCTGGAAGACCAGAATATTATACTGCTAAGTTTTCATGATGACTAAAAGCAATTAAATGAATAATGTCTGCATATGACATATGAAATATAAACATGATTAAAAATATATACTAGAAAAGAATTAAAGTAGGTAGAATTAAAGTAACAGCAGTCTATAAATTTTACTATACTGTGTCTGTCTTTAAAAAAACCCATATTCTTCATCTTCTCATATCACTATATTTTTTTAAAGTATTTCATGTACAAAATTATGTACGAAGTATTGCAAGAAAAAGATGAAAACTTAATTTATTTGCATCCAACTTCTATGTTTTACTTGAATGGCTTTCAGAGGAAACACAAAGACTATTCATTAGAGATGTGTCTTACTTGTGCAGTTTGGCAAGGATCCAGACCATGTTCCATTGGCAGTGCATTGTCTTACAGATGATCCAGAAAGTATGTATCCTTCCATACATGAATAAATTACTGAATTAGAGAATGTAGTTCCATCAATACGAAATACTTTTCCATTAGCAGTTGTTCCTGGATTACCACACTGCACAGCTATAAAGCAAAATATTAACTGTTTTTTAAACGTGGTAAAGATAATTTTTGAAATAGTAATTGTCTAATGACGATCCTGCTGCCAGCAGTGTTATATGGTAGAAATCTGTACCAAAGTATGTTTCCTACCTAATTTAAAGCACAGGAGAGAGTCAAACTATTATTTCATAGGCAGTTTTAACTGTTTCCCAGTTATTCAGTGCTCAAATTTGGAATCTGAATGTGTCTTTCTTATGTGATTACATACATACATCTAATCTATATGGCCTAAACTAGAACAATATACCTGTGTGCAGATTACACACACCTATGTATATATATCTGTGAACCAGATTCATCATTTCAAGAGATTTTTATGGGGAAAAATAACACCAAATGTATCTTAAAACGTAAATCAGGTAATTCATTTCTGTAATATATAAAATCAAAGAACAGCAGAAAGTTCAGTTCAGCTAAGCATATTCCTTCAGATACCAACATACAAACATATATATATTTATGTTTGTGTCAGGATACCGATCATTCAGCAGAAAGGATATTACAAAACCAGCTTGTGAAGTAAGTGTTTAAAATGAGATGACTATTTCATGCAGATAATGCAGTTAACAGTGATAAAGTGGGTAAGAAGAGTACAGGTTCTCAAACTGTTTTCTACTTTTCAGGAAGCTTTTCTTTGAAGAAGAATCTGTTGGGAATTATTTCCTATTTTTGAATCAAGATAATTAGAGGTAATAAATGATTCTCCATAAATATCCTGTTAGAGGTTTTTTTTATGATAATATATCTAGCTGGAAATTTCTAGAATGATTTTTCCAAATAAATTTGCTTCAGCAATTCATTTTCTATGGAAAAAAATAATAATGTCAACAGTATTAATAACTATTTTTTTTAAGCCAATCACTTATGACATAGATATATCTAATGAAATCCTGACATTGACATTTTCCTAAACCTCAGCTCTTTCTCTGAAATTCAGATGTAAAGATGGTGAGGTTTTTAAGGGAAAATCTTTCAGCAAAAATTGAGTTCTAGAGGCCTTATCTATTTCTTTTTCTCTTTAGTTTCTTTGTACTGGATAACACATACAGTTGATGCTGACACAGGCTGAGAAGAAATAAATAGTCCAGTATACTTTTTTTTTTCCCCAAAAAAACCTTTGAAAACATGCAGCTTCATGGGTGCCAGGAACTGATTTTAAATTTGCCACCTGATGCCAAGCCATTGCTATGGTGTAACAACTTATCAAAAAAAAAAAAAAAAGGTCAGTCCAAAATCAGCTGTACACTGTTCACAATTCAAAACTGGCAATGTAAAATTGGTTTTCTGATTAGCGTTTTTAACAAGACAGTTCAAAAGAAAGAATGGATCCTCTGTGCTTTACCTTTGCACTCAGGTTGTCTTCCTGTCCAACTTCCATTTGCCATACATGTTCTTTCTTCTGAGCCATGTAGTATATATCCAATATCACAGCTGAAATGTACCGTGCTTTTAATTTTAAAATTGTTTTCTTCTCTAGACCCATGACCTGGGATACCTGGATCACCACAAGAACCAGCTGTATCACCTAAAATTTAGAGTGCAAAGATTACTATAAGAATGAAATATTATTATGATACTGCATTTAAAATACACGTTTCTATGTATTTATAAATAAATTTATATTTATATTTTTAGAAATAAACATGTATCTT